CCCCCCCCCCATTCAAAATCCTGGCTATGAACATGCTATTCCTTATCCAAAATGTACACCTTGTCATGTGTAACTGTGTTCCCGCCATTTCAGATTCACTACTGATGTTAATCTCATGCTTCCAACTTCCGCAGAGTCAAGGTGATGAAAGTTGACAAGATCAACCAAAAATTTATGGTAAGTCCTTCCTTGTGTTGGAACAAAGTTTAAACTATATAATTTATAAATAACAAATTTTAATTTTCCCACCTTCTCAAGTCTGATGAGAAGTTTGTTCATCTCGATGACGTAGAAGTCGATTCTTGCATCACGGATCTTCTTGAAGTTATCCATGTGGCTGCGACTGGTGCCTTCAGGGGAGACAAACATGTACTAATTGTGCTCACAAATGAAAAATCATAATTTAAAGTGGCTAAATTCAGCTTGTTTTGCAAAAGCAAATGTAATGAGAGTTATGAGACATACATGGAATATTAAAAAATTGCATACTGTACTTGTAATCAATTACTTGTAATATAATTGTAATTGCAATCAATTTTTCAATGTGACATTTTGCTTTCATTTCTATATATCTTCCTATCAATTTTCTCTAAGAGTAATAATTTGCATAAACTGAAAAATTTTTACAGTAATCTTCAACTTTGCAAAAACAACCATTTAATTCTGTTACATTACATGTATATCAACATGTAATTATAATACAATCGTATGTATATAGCACTAGCTACATGTATGTACAACTCAATCTTGACACATATTAGCAGATTAGCTTTAAGTAGAAAATTGAGATTGTTAATTATTATATTATCAGCTCAGAGCAAACTTGTAATGTATATGGTAATGTATGGTACTACCTTTGTACCAAACTCATTCGTTACGAGTGGATTAGCTCTAGTAGAAAGTTTAGATTGTTATAACCGGCGCAGAGCAAACTGGTAATGTATGGTACGGCCACGCCAATTTAATTTCTTGGTTAACGGATTCGCCTCTTCATTTTTTTCTGATTTGCAAAAAAAAAAAAAATTCAGAATCAACTGCAAAAATAAAATGCTCATATTTTGCCCTGAACAGTTATTCCATCTTTCAATGCAGCGGTATCAATAAAAGTTTAAAATTCATTGTTTAAATTTTGAACCAGCCTGGTGTGTTGACTTCATGGCTCCTATCGTACCATTTTGGGCCATAGTAGGATGCCTAGGCCTGTTTTTATTTTTTTCATCCGCCCGCTCCATTATTTTCCTAGAAAAATCTGTTAACCAAGAAATTAAATTGGTGTGGCCTAGTGTATATGGTACTTCATGTACCTTTGTACCAAACTCATTCATTACGAGTGGATTAGCTCTAGTAGAAAGTTTAGGCTCAGAGCAAAGGTGGTCAGTATTAAGAAGAACCCCTATGGAGCGTTGGCGTCCGTTCTGTCGTGTTACCAGTAGCAAGGTGAGTAGATTTAGCGTCAGATGAAGTGAGGAGGAGGGCCGGGGGCTCACTACCCGTCACACAATCTCTACACATGCCTCATGTTCACTGTACAGAGACGTTGACAGGCAGCGAGTCCCAGCCAATCAGCAAACAGGAGAGGAAGCATGGAGTAGATCGAGAGAGAGCCAATCAGCCGTCAGGACAGGCCCAGAGCTTGGCTGGAGTTTGCAGGTCAGGTCAGATAGAATGAAGCTTTTTTTGAAGACAGGTGGCCCTGTCAGAATCATGGATTATGGTGGAAGTTTTTATATGCTACATACAGTTCAAGGATGAATATTCAGAAAAGTAGCCTCTTGAATCAATCTGTGTGTATTTCAGGACAAAAAAATTAAATTGCACCTGTCCAGTACAGTCAAACTTGCCCAAGTGACCGCCTTTTCTCAGTCCCTTCCTTTTGCACCATATATGTGAGCAGTAAGTGACTTGCCTTAAAGCCAATCACTTGTCCAATGTGACCGTGTCCAGCACTATTTGGGACCGATGCTGCTTTTGTGCCAAACTGGTTATCACTAGCACATTTGTTGCTGTTTTTATGCATATCTAGCTTCTGTCTTTAAGTTATTAATACCGTGTGTTGTGTTAACTCACACACTGATGAGTAATGTTAATGTTAAATAGCAATGACCTAGTATGTACAATAGATGATAGAAAAACACTTCTATGAGAATTACTCCAAGCAAAGGATCTAGAAAATTTGCTAGCCCACACTTCAGTAAAATGTAACAAAATTAAACAGATGATGTACATAAACATGCAAAAACAGGCACACACACGAAAATAATTGAAACTCTCTCCCCCCCCCCCAAAAAAAATCCTCAAAACCCTTACTAGGACAGTACATGTAATAAAACAGTATGAACAACTTACAAGTAGATCCAACCAGAGCTTGACATAACTAAACTGGAAGACAAGTCTGAGGCCCGACAACCTGTCACTCTCTCTACATGGACGGTATGGGGCGACCACAGCATGTATTGGAAGTGACAAGCCAGCAGGCACACACAGTTCACCAGCCAACTCTTCTGTATCTGTATCGGTATAGCCGATATAACCACCCTTCGGCATAACACACCAGCTGAAACTCTTCCTACATGACTAAGGAAGCCATCATACATTTTTAAATTGTAGAACCCTACCTGGAAACAACAGACTTTCATCCTTAAAAAGTTAAAGCTTGCTATTTGAATTTGGGTCAACTTACTGGAGTTAGAAAATACCATTGTACCTAATACTAGTAACATGAACTTTTTTTGGTGAAATATCAATATCAGGGCTCTAGCCAGCTTGAATTTTTTCTGTCAGCCAAGGCTCATGATCAGACCTGGGGGGAGAGTGCTCGCAATTTGGGTGACAAATTTTGGACTTCTAAGCCTTTAATTGCGAAAACGCAATTTCCCACATTTTGAGAGGAAATCTATGTGGGACTGAGAGTGATTAGTGTTGGTCCTTTGGATGTTTTTATATTTTACCCAAGATTATTGTCAATTTTCTCCATAAATAAAGTTTGATGGATTGAAATTTCGGTCAAACATCACAAATTTCCTGCAATTGACAGAAAAACAGGTGCTGGCAGCGGCTAGAGCCCTGTGAAATATTGCCTATCAATATCATGGCATAATTTCCAGCACTTACGTTCAGCTATTCGAGTAAACACTTACGAAAGCTACTAAATGTAGCACAATTCTACCAGTTACAATGTACCCTCAAAATGAAAACCAGGGACCAAAAACAGTCCAACCTTACTAAAGCAGCACTGTTGGTAGAACTTTTACCATGACAAGTCAACTAAACAAAATCATACTGTAGGAAAGATGTTAGACAGTTCGAACGTCCATACGGCCTAACAACGGTGACATTAGCGCCTGTTTGACGTCCAAACGGCCTAACACCTTTCCTACAATACTATTTAAACTTCACCTTTCAAGCAAGGCTGTAATACAAAAAGAAAATGTAGATGCAAAACAACTGACTTATCTGAAACCTTCAGTACTCTGACAGGAGGAGGCCACAAGCTGGAAAACCCTACAGACTTCATAGCGGCCAGCCTTCTTTGTCTGCAACACTGCCTCTTCCACACAGATCCTGCAACCTGACTGTCCTGTACAGCACCCAGGGCACACTGACTAACACACCTCTCCACCCAACCCCTTATATCCCTGGACAAACTCTCTAGTGAGTTGCCCAAATGACATCTATCAATTACATGGAACACAAGTGCATCCTGTCATTATGGTAAATGGAAATGAGAGCTCCAAACTGACAAATTTTTAACGACAGGCATCCCTAGGCCATACCAATTTAATTTGTTGTTTCTCGGATTCCCCCTGTCCATTTTTTCTGATTTGCAAAAAAAAAATTTTTTTGGTTCTATAATGACTATATTAACTGCAAAATGCTTAATGAAAGACTTTTGGCCCCAACAGTTGAAAAAAATTCTTTTCTTCCTAGTTGTTTAAGTTTTTCAATGTAACAATGCAACTTTGTTTCATTAAACGTTCAAAATCTATTGTTTTAATTATAAACCAGCCTGGTATGTTCACTTTATGGCTCATATCGTAACATTTCCGGCTATCATGGGGTGCCTTGGCCTGTTTTTTTTTTTTAATTTCGCCCTGTCGCTCCATACTAGTATTTTTTCAAAAAATATCCGAGAAACAACAAATTAAATTGGTGTGGCCCTATAGTGATGGGAGGGCTGGGGGAATGAAGGATCAGCAAAGTGCAAGGTCCTATTCATTTGTCCTATATTACTGCTGCACCTGTACTAAACAGTGTACAAAGTGATGTGCTAATGGTATGCATTACATACATCATGTATATTGGCTGGCTGATTGGCCCCATCAGAATTATGGATTAAAGGTGGTAAAGTTTTTACATCCTAAATTACAGTTCAAGGATGAATACCATAAGCCACCAAAATAGCCCCAATGTTTCAAGACAACTATACTTATAGAACCACTACTGTAACTTTTTAAAAATGTAAGGGCAGACCCTAGTGTGTATATCTTATAATAAGAAATAACAAGAAATAATATCATACAATGTCTATCTGGTGTGTTTTGAACATAAAACCTATTAAAAGCACTTATAGAACTAGCATTGATTACACATATTGTACACAATGGTCTACAACTGGATATATGTGGTTAAAATTTGTGATCAAATAATTTGCCATTTAATCTTTTCTTTGAGAACTAAGGTAAAACCATACAGGTACACTACCGTAGTACTACTAGTATCTTGGATACCTGGGAACAGAGTCGAAGTAAAAACCCAGTGTCATGCATTCACAACCTTCCCCCGAATCTGTTCCTGAATGCCAGCTGACCAAGTTTGGCTGATGTTCAGGAGCACTCTGACCACATTTAGGCAATACCTTTCTACATGTATGTGAATTGAATTTGAGCTAAATTTCAGTCAAATTTAACCCACCAACACCCCCAGTACAGTTGGTGTTCAGCTGACTTACGCTGAACACCAGCCAACAATGGTCAAAACTTCCAATCCCCCCCCCCTGCAAAGTTCTACACATTTTAAAACTTTCAGCTGACGATAGTATTCCTGACTTCGCCGAACAACAGCTGATCATGACTCAGCCAACTTTGTGACGACCTCCTCCTAGTCCTAACTGTGATTGTGGGGCATTCGGCTAGTGTTCGGGAGGCCAAATTTGTGAATGTGTGACAGGGTCTTAAAAATATTAAATCTCATGGAACAGACCTTCCCAATGCCCTAGCAGGTGGGACAGACAGACGTGTACTGGTATGGAAATACACATCAGGACGTGTGATTGTCACCATGATTGCCAATTTGTACCCCCTTTCAGAGGTAAGTGGTTGTAATGACACTGATTCTGGTCCATTCTGTTGCTCATTTGGAGGACAGAAGTGATTCTCACACAAATCCATTACACAATGAAGGGTGGGAAATGTAGCATGCAATTTTCTGATGGGAATTTATTTCAATATCAATCAAAGCCCTTTTACCAATTGGAGGTTGAAGAAAACTTTTGCCCATTTCATACGTATACCCGGGGCTTGAAAAACTTTTTTTTCTGCGAGTGCACGTAACACTGGAAATTACCTGCACCAAATTTTACCTGCACCACACAGACTTTGAGAAGTTTATGAATCTTAGTAATAATAACAAGCGTTCAGAAACTATTGATATTATTTCTTTTTTCTATAGTTGGTAACAGTGAGTGCAGCAAATAAAAATCCACATACATCTTACAAAAATTTAAACCAAGTACCTATGCTAATATATAGTGCCTAATACCTGCACAGCTCCAATTTTACCTGCACTAAGGTGCATCACCCAGTATTTCATACCCTCATAGTGTGTGTCATAATATACATTGTACAGTGCTGCATATTCAATCATAGTCATACTACGTAGTAGAGTTAACACTGATAATTACATGTAGGTTTAGACTTGTATGTTTTATTCTTGTTACAGTATCTCTAATGTCTTCAATTATGAACATCTTTAGTGTGGCCTTGATTTTCAAATGAGTAACTGATAGTGATACTTCTCTTTCTTTAAATTGTTGCTCTACAGTAACTATTCCTTGCTGAAGGAACAAAAATAGGTCAAACTTACAAAAAATGATAGGTTACATATATATGTATAACCAAACAGCTTTACAAGAGAATGACTGGGCAAACTACCTACTCTCATGTCCCTAATAAACATACCCCCCGGAATAAACATACCCCCCGGACAAATCGTCAAAGTCTAATAAACATACCCTCCGGAATAAACGTACCCCCCGGAAAATGACCAAATTGACAGGTGAACTGTGTGTCTTTGATACTAAAATGTGCTCTTTATTTCAATACCAATATATTGGCAAATCTTTCACTGTTACATTTAATTAGTGAGTATATATCACTTTAATTAATGAGTATATATATATTGTACTTGTTTTGGGGAAATACAAAATCCGTAGGAGTCTCTAGGAGAAGCTATTGTATTTTACACTTCTGAAATGCACTTTGCTAAGCCTTCTCCTGCAACTTGAGTTGAAAATCTGACTATTTAAGAGATAGAAAATCAAGCCCAATTAAGTACAAATATAGGGGTTTAATGAGTATATCTACAACAAAATCCATTTCAACATAATAATTATTTGGTATGGTACATTGTCTAGTCTGGTCAAAGTCTGGATTCTGAAGAAGAAAAACTTCTGAAGAAAAAAACTTTTGAAGAAAAAAATATTATTCAGCATAAAATTTTGATTGGTTTTCATCTCATTGTTTTTTTAAAAATCGATAATGTGATTGTATCAATTTTAAACGCCCTAAAATTAGCTAAATCGGCGCTTTTACGGTGATTGCGCAATATGGGTGCCCTATGACCTTTGACTTTTTACGGGTCATGCTGCTCAGGCGCTAGGCGCCCTCCCCACGTCGGCCGTCCGTCTTGTGGGCAAATTTCTACTTTTTTAGGGGTTTCGGGACCTAAAAACTAACACCAGAGGGAAAATAAACCACATACGTTTTTTTCATGGTAAATATCGCTAAAATGGACCAGGCATTTTTCTGCCGCGTTGCCGATTTTGACAAGGACTTGCGGCCGCCATGTGCTAAATACGTCGATTAGCTACTCGCCTTCCCCTTCGGTTTTGTGGGCAAATTTTTGCTTTTTCAGACGTTTTGGGACTTAAAAATGGACAGCAGGCGAAAAATAAATAATATACATTATATTCATGAGAAATGCCGCTATCATGGACCAAATATTTATCTGTGACGTGTTGCCGAATTTTGCGGCCGCCGGCCACTTGCTGATGGTGCGGTACGTACGGACAATTTTTTTCCCAAAAATTAATAAACGTACCGTCCCTAATAAGAATGTACCGGGTGGACGTTCGGGCCGAAAAAAATAAACGTACCGGTACGTTTAATCGGGACATCAGAGTAAAGACATACATTAATTGGCAACTTATTGAATGGACAAGTAAACTTTTCTACTCTCCCAAAACTCTCAAAACGGAGGACAGAAATGTAATGACCTCAATAGATTTTCCAATTACTGTTCTCCATTACAGGCAATGTCAGTGGATCAACAAATATATTCATGAGAGCTAAATAAGCCAGCAAATTATGTAAATGAAGCATGGATATACATATGATTGTAATATCTGCAAGGGCATCTTGGACAGGAGCGTTGAACATGTGACAGGCAGTAGTTAAGCTATTCCACCAAGCATTTGTCTACATCCGTTAAATTAAAGGGGCATTGTGTAACATTTTTGCACCAAAAATTGAATATGTTCTTGAAAAAAAAATTGTGTGATTGCAACTTACTTACAGTTTCAACATATTTGTACAATTATCTCACCATTCTGGTATTTATTGCTGACACTAAATCAGCCCACAAGAGGGGCACTCAGTTTTGGGTGCCACCACAAACTACCAGAAGGTACTAGAAGTAAACAAACATGGCTGACAGATGTGTTTCTAGCTTTTAAATACACTGTAAAGGTGTCATGTTTTAGCATCTCCACTTCCTTCAAATGACACTTATTTGCAATGGACTAGGGTTGATCCAACTGACTTTGTATTGTTGTATCATGTTCCATAATGCAGGTTTCAGAACTGCCTACATTATAATACTTAATCTTGAAACTAGCAACAGTAATCTTTTTGGAACACTTTCAAACTGTTCTATGTAACTTTCTCCCTAGCTAACTTAAGATACAGAATTGTGTGATCAAGATTGGTCCTACTTGAACCCATCATGTCACACCAAAATAACTCCCAAAATCCTGGAAATGCACAGTTGATTCTTGTGTTGTTTGCACAGACTACTACAAGCAGCATGTGCTTTTTATTGAGTTGACCAATAGTAAAGTAAGTATTTTAAACGCTACCTTTGATGCAGTACATATACGAAAAGGTAGATGTCTCTGCAGCACAGACAAGAGATAGAGCAGGATGTGAATATAGATAGATAAGAGTTATGAAAGTAGGAGAAAGCAACCATACATACAGGGGAAGGGTGTACACAAATTATTCATCACAGCATAGGATTAGAAGTGTCAGTACAATAGAAATGCAGTCAGATACACATCTATGCAATTCCATGAGCTTCTAAAAATATCATCAGGGCTCGAAATTCATTTTTGGGAATAGGTGCACTGGTGCACCCAACCTAAAATATTGGGTGCACAAAAAATTTTTGGGTGCAGCATATGAAACAACAGGTCGTACGTACATACTGCTCCTCTTCTGAGCTTGAATCTAAAATGAGAGCTAACTTCAAAATCTAGTTAAACATTACTACAACAAAGCTTATTTTTCTGATACTTAGAGACCAAGAACATCCGGTATACTATTATAGACTTCTAATGTTAAAAATTCCTACAAAATGTTTGGATGCACCAGTGCACCACCAAAAAAAAATTAGGTGCACAACTCCAATTTTGGGTGCACTAAGGTGCACATGCACCCAGTATTTTGAGGCCTGATCATAGAACTTTAAAATTAAATGTATTTATGTGCATCGAAGACATAATCTGGTGCGAGTCATAATCTAAACATTGAGTACTACTTGTGGGACTTGGATGAATCATAATTTACTAGAAACATTTGCAAATGGTAAAATAAGGAGGATTACTGACTTGGTTAAAGTAATTATGGCGATGTAATGACCTCTTTATGACACTATCATTCATGTGTTAAGCATTGTTGTTAGGTATACAACGCAATAATTATTACATAAGTGCCCTGCCTAAAGGTGCACTTGAAATACTGTAAATCACATTATGTTCGCGGTAGCAAAAGTTTGCGGTCTAAAAAAAATTGACATGTTTTTAGGGACTATATGTTCTCGGTGGCGGCATAAGGTGCAGCAAAAAGAAAGTCAGCGAATTATTTCTTCACGGTTAGTAACAATAAATTACAGAAATGACTGAGAAAACTGCGAACATAAACATGCCGCGAAAAAAAAAATCGTGATTTACAGTATTTGACGATTCAAACCAAAGACATGCAGATACAAATGAAACTATACACAAGCAAAAATGGCAACGCTACTTCCCATCATACACCTCTTTGCATGATGGGAAACAAAATGGCGGTGCCCATGGATGCAAACTAAAAGAAAACAAGTTTCGCCACTGATCATGATCCTTACCGAAGTCTTGTGGTTCCCACATTGTCGGATCCACGCCGCCAACGTAGTACGCCGTGCTGATCGCGGCCACCTGGTCGCTGCTGTCCGAACGTCCGACCGCGGTCCCCCGGTCCGCCCTCACGCCATCCTGGTCCCTCCCGTGCCGCAACAACTTACTCTTGGCCCTCCCAAACAGACCCTTCAGATGCTGGAACACTTGTTTATCTGCCTCAGTGTTGTGTGCCTCCTCAAAATGGTTCTGTAACTGCTGCACCGTCTGTAAGTCCTTCATACAGATCGGGCACAGGAAGCCCTCACGGATGTCCCCAGAATCACTAGCCGCCATCGTGCTTAGTCTTGTTCGGTTCCGTATTTTTGTTTCTTTCCGGTGTAATTTTGAACCAGTCGGGGTTTTTTGACACACGCCCTAGTTGTTTGGGGGGCGGGGCCCCTTTGAACTATACCTCGTTCAAGTCAAATTTTTCATATTATCTGACGGAATAACAATCATCACGGCATCATCATCGCGTCTTCTGATCTTTTGGAGATGGTAGAACGGTAATATCGATGTAAGATGACCGCAAGGCGCTTATTTATAAAAGCAAACAACGTCACGAAAAATAATCAGGGGCCAAGATGTGGGGGAGGGGGGCAAGGTGAAACAAATCGACGCCTTACACTTCCGTTACCGCGATCCAGTCCACACTTTCTGCGGCACATGTCCCGTTCACAAGCCCAGCCGACTAACTGGTACAATTTTACGCCATTCCGGATCCGGTGGGATAAAATATAGCGGTGTAAAAAAACCTGGATGTAGCGCAGCAGCTCAGCTCTCAGCTCCAGACACCGAACAATTACGTCATGGGTCAAAAGGTCAAGATGATATACCTGATTATCCTATAAGGCATCGGTAGCACAGATTGTAGCACAAGGTAGAGACTGCCTTGCCGTCTTTTGAAACCTTGCTTCGATGGTACAAATGTATTCCTAAAACTAACTGGCTTTTGCTTTTAGTTTCTTTGATTATATGACAAACAATACATTAATCGGATGCCTTTTTATTTCAAATCTCCGTGTTAAAACGTTAACGTAATTAAAGTATATCGGTTTGTCCAAAAAAAGATAGATTCGGAAGAAGAGAAAAACGTCATTGTGTGCTTAAAACATTTTCCCATGCACATCATCAATTCACAGTAAATTGATTATTGGCAATATTCAATATTGAGGAATTAAATGGATATTAGCCGTCCAAAATGTATCATGATGTTGTCAAGAGCGACTCCATCCTTCATCTTACATATTATCTGTTGTTTACATAATTTACTTACGTAATTTACTTATCTCCAATACGTCATGCACGGCTAGGAGAAAAACTCACTGCAGTTTGAAAGAACGCCGCTTGGCGGCGCCATTGCATGGTGCAACGACAACGACACCTTGCCGTTTTGCGGCAACGCACGTTTCCCTCACTTCCGCGTTGGCCCAGTGTAGTGCTCAGTCACAGTCAGTGTTTGGAGTCGGGCACAAATTTTAGCTGAACCTAGCTACCTAGAGCTTCGCGCCATGGCTGATCCCTGCTCTCTAAGCAACCCACAGGCCTGTAGAACCACCAACATGGCCCTGCACCTTGTCGTAGACTTCGACAAGAAGGTCCTGAGAGGGTCGGCCACTCTTGATGTGGAGGTGTTGGAGGAGGGAGTGGAGCATGTGGTGAGTGGTGCATGGTGTAGATTAACGTTATCTCTTACAACACATCTATCTATATATCATCTATATCTATATATCATACTGGGCAAGGCCCCAAACTGGGGCATCGCGCCTAGGGTCTTGACAATTGCGGCCGGTGGGGTGAGGTGCTTGGTTCAAGGAAAAAAAATCAAACAAGAAAGTGCTATGGTGTGCAATAAACACTAAAACAGTGCTATGTCACATTTCCCTATGAAAAGTTAATTCATTATAAGGCATAGTTGATCTTAAAGATAAATTGTAAGTGACCTGCTCGCCCCTTTCGGTTTTTACAAAGGGACTGTCTTGAATTTGCGTGCATGCTTAAGCTTGTGTTCTTGTATATTAGTTAAGTATTAGCAAGGAGACTATATAATATCGGCGTGGCTATTTACACTCCCGGAGTGTATATAAAAGACAAATAGATTTTATTTACACTCCGAAATACTAGCCTCCTTGGTAGGCCCAAAACCTGGGTTTTTGTGAGTGTTTGAGGATTCAGGGGCACCAAGTGTGTTCAAGTTTATCTTAGTGGATGATGAAAATCAGAAAACAACACGGAAATCCCCACCGAAGTTCGAAAACACAGGGTTTTGACCTACGACCCGAATGTCAGCCAATCAGCACTCGACAGGGATTTCCCGCTATTTTTCGTCTCCCGCTGAGGCCTGGTCTCTCGCGCCAACATGGCTGCCGCGCCGTCCCTACTGAAGTTAGGGGACGAATTTCTCACTTGGGCAGAGTTTAAGGCAGCACTGGACAACTATCAAGAAACAACACACGCTGAGCTCAGTAAGATCAGTAGCAAGAAGGTGGAAACTGAGAACAGGAAATTACCTGAAGGCGTCCAAAAGTTTCCGTGTGCTCATGTTTATAGAGCGGTGAAGTTTGGATGTATTCATTACGGGAAGCCGCGCCTGTCAGGGTCGGGAATCCGGCCAAATCAGTCGTGAGTATACATCGATTTTTTTCTCATTGTAGCTCAGGAATTTCCCTTGGCTAGTTAAGTCACTCTTGAAGCCATACTAGCCACAATCCTTGGCCAGACCGAGACGAAAGATCTACTCTACTCTACTCTACTCTACTCTGTGGTGCATGTAGTGGGAGGGGGGCAAATTTATGACTATTCAGTACTGGCGGGAAATTATGTGCAGGGCTCTCCCCAAGCAAATATTATGAAACATGTTGTATGTTGTATTCATACATTACCCTGACAGGTTGACAACTAATGACGCACAATCTACGCGTACATCAACACAGATTGTTTGAAACTGACTTTACTGAATGCAAAAACTCAAGCTGACATACCAGCAATATCGGTTGTAGACCCGAACCTTCCAGTTCTTAGCCACTTACCAATACGTGTCGATGTTAATCCATGTCCAGATTAAGTTGTGCTCAAACAAGTTGCATGTCCAAGTAAGGTGACCATTTTACCATGTTTCATTTGAGTGGCATAGGATGTCAGTTAAGATATTTCACCTTTCATATTTATTTTGCAGGCAATTCTGTATGGCCTCCACAAGATCAAGGGAATCAGCATGGAGGCAGCTCAGCAACTGATGGATAAGGGACCAGAGCGATCCCCTGAAGAGACGTGGTACAGGGACTAGAAAGAGGAGGAGAAGAACCATCCACCGGACATTTTAGCTAGTTTTTTAAAAAATTTTAATTTTTTATATTCCACAATCCCAGAGCCGTGGTCTTTATTCTTTTGTCACATGTTACATGATGATATTTACAATATATACAGTATGTTTATTTCAATCTATCAGGTAAAGAAGATCCCCCCATTTTCTTTTTGCTTTTCCGTATGATATATTTTGCTCTATTTTTAAGCTGGACATAAAATCATTTAAGAAAACAGAGAATGGATCAATTATTTTGTAGAAGCTTTTTTCCTTATATAGACACCAGGTTTTAAATATTGCATACTGTGCTATACCAATCATATGATTACCTGCATTTGTTTGTTGTAAGTTCCTTGGAAGTCCATATATTAATGTTTCAATATTGATATCTTTTATGATAATTATGATGTTCAGTATTTTTTCAGTATTATGATGTTCAGTATTTTTCCAAAAATTTTTAAGTCTTTTACATTGAAAGAACATATGGTTTTCGTCCTCTATTTCCAAACAGATGTTACATAGAGGTGACTGTATTAATTTCCATTTCTCGGGTTCTAACATATTTCTGCCTATCGCTTTGTGCCAACTACAGATAACATGTTTGTAGTACAAAGGTATGTGTTCCATGTTAGGACAATCCCGTTTGTCTTTAAATTGCATATTTAGAATAAGGAAATCTTTTCCAAAACTGTTAAGAAACAGACGTGGAAGTATCTTCCAGTCCCCCTCTGAGTTATCCATTAACCGCCTGATAACACTAGCATGTAAGGCATCAATTTGCGATGGAATATGAGTCATCTTTAGACCTGTATTACAATCTTCGACCTGATGTCCAAAATTTATAAGCATTTTAGCTAGTTAGTTAGTTACAGAGGTAGCTCAGGACCTGCAGCAAGTATATGTACCGGTATGTACTTGGATGCTCGACGTTGTAAACCTTACACACACAGACTTGTCAGCCTGCATGACCCAGGAGCAAGTAGGGGAACAATACTCTGGCATACTTGTGAGCAAAGTTATGTAGAGTGACATTAGACTGTGAACACATGTTGTATAACCAACAGTGTCTTTTGATAAAAGCTAGCATGTAGTTAGCTTTGGCTACATTGATCACAGTATGTTTGTTCCATTAGATTATATGTTTTATTTTTGTTTTGATAACCCCTGGCCTGAAGTATCTTGAGCAAAGTTATGTAGAGATATTTGAGCAAAGTTATGTAGAGTGACATTAGACTGTGAACACTTGTTGTATAACCAACAGTGTCTTTTGATAAAAGCTAGCATGTAGTTAGCTTTGGCTACATTGATCACAGTATGTTTGTTCCACTAGAGTCACTAAGTAAAAGGAGCTGACCTCAAACACCTGGAGTCAGTGTCTCTTTTTAGTAATAGAAAAGTTTATTGCAAATTCCTGCCAAAGGCTAATTGCAAGTGACATAAACAAAAGAACATTGAAACAGAGTAAAGAATAACTTCCAAATCTACATAATAAAATGTAATACATCTTAGGAAACTATAGCTATGTCTAACACTATGTCTGAAGGGTTTACCTTCTCTTTTGTAGACCACGGAAGACGTAATGTCGCACTTTAGTAATAGTATAGACAATTAAGCCATGCACGTGCAAGTTTAAACTGTCTCAGTGAAACTGCGAATGGCTCATTAAATCAGTTATGGTTCCTTTGATCGTCACATCCTACATGGATAACTGTGGTAATTTTAGAGCTAATACATGCGGAAGAAGCGCCGACCTCACGGCCTGGCGTGCATCTATCAGACCAAGACCAACCCGGGGTTCGCCCCGGTCCCTTTGGTGACTCTGGATAACCCACCGGCGACAGATCATTCGAATGTCTGCCCTATCAACTTTCCGGGAGTGTATATAAAATCTATTTGTCTTTTATATACACACCGGGAGTGTATATAAAAGACAAATAGATTTTATATACACTCCCGGAGTGTATATAAAAGACAAATAGATTTTATTTACACTCCCGGAGTGTATATAAAAGACAAATAGATTTTATTTACACACCGGGAGTGTAAATAGCCACGTTCATATAATATAATGGTTTTATTGAAAATTTGCTGTTGTGCCCAAAACTAGTCAAAGTGAAACTGCAGAAATACTAGGACAGCCTCTAAGAAAGTGAAACCTAAGGTGAAAGTTGCAGCCATTTCTAGCTGAATATTTTATGTCTACGTGTCAAAACAGACTGTATATAACAAGAGTGGTAACGCCCCTGTACTTGCAAACACTCAAGCACAAACAGTCCTTTGTTGCATGATTGCCAGACTAGGAGTAGGAGTGTGCAAAGTTGATTATTAACAGATTTTACCCAAACCAGCTTTAGAATTGAGAAAAGAATGTGTGAGTAAAAATCTGCTTAAAAAGTGCTTACATGTAATCCTAGAGAAGGAAAGTTTCCCATTCCACGCAATGGCAGTGGCTCTTTCTGCTCAATATTATAGCCAATTGCTACAGTTCAGTTCTTGCTGTCTGGACAGCATTCCTGAAGAGTCAAGTCACACACCTGTGTGTAACACCCGTGTGTATGTACAGGTGCTGTGTGACTGATAAAGGGCCATATGGCAATTATCCCAGCTTACTTTGGGGTTGGTGGAAAATCCCGTCCAGTCCAGAAGGTAGAAAACCTGTCCAGTCTGATAAAGGGTCTGCATGGGGTCTACGCTTGGTTTTGACATTGTAGTTCCTTTGTGTGGCCTTAGATAGTGAAACGAGATCTACAGAGAGGATCATCAGGCTGAAAGGTATATTATTCCCGTTTATTCCATTTCCGAGAGATAGATAAGTATGTGGACAAGCTACCCCAAGCTACTAAAACAGATTGTTATAGTCAACGAGTGTTGGTTTTTTAATGTCATCTGTGTGTGTCATAGTCATTGTCATTGTTAATGTTGTCCTGCATGCTCGGTCATTACTGGCTGGCATGACCTGGAGTTCTTGTATATTTCTTGTTCACTGAATAAAGAATGATTCACATCATAGCCCGCGTGGCAGCTACCCTTCAACTTGAGCTGGGACCTGGAAGCACCAGATGACATCTCCGTCCTGATCTTGTAGTTCCCACTCTACCACAAACTTGATCTGAAAAATAGCGTGAGAGATGGCAGGAACGTTAGAGGAAAAGTCTCAAATTATATGGTATCAAATTACAAGCAGGCGCTTTATGTCTGCAACAGGATTTGTGTGTGTGTGTGTGTGTGTGTGCGTGTGTGTCTGACAGTGTGTCCAGGGCTTCCAATGGGCAAGGTCAGGCCTTGAAATTAACTTTTCTTCCTATTGTCCCAGCACTGTCCCCAAAATAAATTTCAGTTGTCCCGAAGTGAGGATGAACTGTTCCAATCTGTTTTTTTTTTAGATAATGTATGACATCAACTTAAAGTCATCCTTATTTTGCTGATATTCACTCCCAGGAGCACTATAATTGCACAGTAGACAGGAAATCTGGGGGGAATTTTCTGGAGCCAAAAGCCGGGACGTGTGCCTGATAAACAAAAGAAGGGCTGACATTCTGATGTTGATTAAATTTTTCTATTGTCCCAAAAATGTCCCAAAGTGTCTTTTTAGTCGTCCCAGCCTAAATTTTAGTGGTCAGTTGCCATTGGATCACCTTTAATTTTGAGTCCTGAAGATATAATCATGAAACTGAACATATGCTCCAACTAGAGCAAGTTGAAACTTGTAATGTTGTTAAGTTGGCCTACCCGGTAACCCCTACACTTTAACACAAACAAATTTCTTACCGACGGGTATGACTTTGACACCAAGAGGGAGGAGGTATAGTTGTAAGTTCCCCCGGCTGCTATGGGACATTTCAGTCCCGAATCCTTACATGCATCGGGGTTTGGGATCTCATGTGGGACCCTGACATCAAGTACGATGGCGTGCACAACTGCACTAGCCTTCGTTATCTGCTTGTCTGAAAAAAAAGGAATAATGCACATGTTTTACTTAAAATTTAGGCCACGCCAATTTAATTTCTTGGTTAACGGATTCGCCCGCTTCATTTTTTTCTGATTCGCAAAAAAAAAAAAAAATCAGAATCAACTGCAAAATGCTCATATTTTGCCCTGAACAGTTCCATCTTTCAATGCAGTTGTATCAATACTACCATTAAAAGTTCAAAATTCATTGTTTAAATTTTGAGCCAGCCTGGTGAGTTGACTTCATGGCTCCTAATAGCCCTATCGTACCATTTTGGGCCATAAGAGGAATACCTTAAGGCCTTTTTTTATTTTTTTTTATTTTTTCGCCCGCCCGCTCCATTATTTTTTCTAGAAAATCCGTTAACCAAGAAATTACATTGATGTGGCCTTACAGAATGGCTTTTTATTGAATAAGAAGGCAAGGCATTCTCAAAGAGTAGTTGTTAAGACTTTTTCGTCATTCTGTTATTCTGTTATATCCTATGTATCATGTTACTCAGTACGATGTACATATAACATCACATTCTGATGTATGCATTTAGCCCCATGGGCATGAACATGCAAATAAAAATTAATATCTGAAGTAAGCTCTGACTTGTGGTGAACTCGAGAACCACGGAGACGTTTTGTCCTTTCACCAGCTGACACGGCTCAGTTGCACATGGTGTGATGTTGATAGAGTTGATTTTGGCCACTTTGGATCCTGTACAGAGATACAAGTAATATGCATGTCTAATAAGAAACGACATAATCATTCATGGGCATTGTTGTGCAAAAAACGCAAAGCATTTATTATATATATATACTAGTAATAAGTCTTTCAGCCACACCATCAACTATTAGGAACCTGAAACGTTATTTTATCAGTATAAGGCCACACCAATTTAATTTCTTGCTTAACGGATTTTTCTAGAAAAATAATGCAGCGGGCGGACAAAAAAAATATAGGCCTAGATAAAGGCCTAGACATCCTATTAGGCCACAACGATTTAATTTCTTGGTTAACGGGTTTTTCTAGGAAAATAATGGAGCGGGCGGGCGAAAAAAATAAAAAATAAAAATAGGCCTAGGCATCCTATTACAAATGTATGGCCCAAAATGGTACAATAGGAGCCATGAAGTCAACACACCAGGCTGGTTCAAAATATAAACAATGAATTTTGAACTTTTAATGATACCACTGCAATGAAAGATGGAATAACTGTAACAACTAGGATCAAAAGGACTGTTTTCAACTGTTCAGGGCAAAATATGAACATTTTGCAGTATTGATTCTGAATTTTTTTTCTGCAAATCAGAAAAAAATGAAGCGGGTGAATCCGTTAACCAAGAAATTAAATTGGTGTGGCCTAAGTACACAAATAGTAAGGAAAATGCATCCATATCCTGAAATGAGGACTGTGAGTGTTAAACAACAGATGACCTTTGCAAAATCATTCAAAAGGAAACAAACAATTTGTCGGATTTGTTTCTTATACACAGTCAAATGACTCACCACAGTCGTTAAAGACCGGTACGGGATCTCCTAAGATGACGGAGATTCCCACGCAAAATGCGAGGGCCAGAACGTGTATCAGACGGGCCATGGTGTCCCTAACACTGGTCAGGGACTGGTCAGACTATGACCACTCCGTCCAAGGTTTGCACTTGCCCAGTTGTTGGAGGCCACACCCACTGATCACCTCATCTAGTGACGTATGTGTTAGACTTTGTGCCTGTTCCCACGCACACATTGAATGAATGAATGAGCTTTATTGCTCCACAATCGTACATGGTACAATGTGTGGCGGTAATACAACAATACAACTACAAAACTAAACTACTTCTTATTACATTATTTACTACAAACTACTATATATACAGTATGGGTTACAATATGGTCATGTATTGATATGGTCTCGCTTATGAAATAAAGTGTACAGAAATTGGCCTACGTAGGCAGATATGGTAGGCAGATATGGTATGACAATAATCTATGGAATGTATCGTACTGTGTACCAGATAGGGTGAACTTTGTCTTAGTGGTAATAGTCTGTAACAATGTATCTCTTTCATTAAAAGTTCAAAATTCATTGTTTAAATTTTGAACCAGCCTGGTGTGTTGACTTCATGGCTCCTATCGTACCATTTTGGGCCATGATAGGATGCCTAGGCCTGTTTTATTTTTTTTTTCGCCCACGAGCTCCATTATTTTTCTAGAAAAATCTGTTAAACAAGAAATTAAATTGGTGTGGCCTTATAGACATTTGGTTTGAGAAATAAAAGTTCAACAAGTTTATATGATTTCTTTCCCTCTTCCTACCCAGGTACTGGACACACGTGAGCTGACCATCCATGGTGTGGAGGATGTCAGCACAGCTCAGCCGCTGCAGTTCCAGCTCAAGGACCAGGTGGCACCTTTTGGATCACCCCTGCAGATCAGCCTTCCAGTCAACTGTCACGCAAAGTGAGAACTAATACTTGTAGATACTTGTTTAAAGTTTAAACTTTTGGTCCAACACAAAAAGTTCTTTCACCTAGAGCTTTCAACCAGTCACTCTGGTCTTCCTCTGTAGACTGACCCAGTGAGAGAACTTTTTTGTGTTGGACCAAAAGTTTTAACTTTAAACATGTAACTACCAACACAGATGAACTTTCATGATAGTACTTGTAGATACTGATCAGTATTTGTTCCAAAATTAATGAAGAATTGGTTGTTGAAGAAAAATTTGTGGCAGTAATAAACTTCACAACATAAATTTGAACTGTCATGTTGATTTGTTGATTGTATATGGATGGCATCCAATTGCACATGAAGTTTCGTTCATTAATAAAAAAAAAGTTTTGACCATACTGTAAATCATGCAAGGCAGCTGCAAAATGAGCAAATATATGCCACAAATTACAAAAACATATTGGAAAATGATACTTGTCATAGAATGCCAAAATCAATTCCAAAAGAAAAGAGGAAAATTGGAAAAAATGAAAATTCGCCATGAAAATTCGCCTTCATGACTATGTAGATTTCATAATGAAGGAAACTTTTTTTCCAATCTTTTTCTATTGGCATGTTCACGTCAGTTTTGCTGTTCTTAGAGGATGTCATCAATATAATTAAATCAACATGGCCTTACTAGAAACGAACATGAAGCTGCAGTACTAGTCCTCTTTTTTAATACAGAGGGAGCAAATGCCAAGTGAAAGTCAGCTATGAGACAGCACCGTCCTCCTCAGCTCTACAGTGGCTGTCCCCACAGCAGACAGCAGGACAACAGCACCCTTACCTGTTCAGTCAGTGTCAGGTGGGTGCTGTCCTCTTGTTCTTATAATTTCATAAATGCCTGCGGACAATTTTACGTGACACAAAATGGTTGTAAATGGTTGAAAATTGTAAAGAATTGTTTCCAGGCATTCATAGGAATTCATTTTTACTACAGGTAATGTGTAGTGTAATTGGATTTAAAACAATTCTGTTATCTTGAATGTCGTTAACCTCAAAACTGATTGTTCTGTAGGCCATCCATGCCCGCAGCATGCTACCATGCCAGGACACCCCCTCTACCAAGATAACTTATCAAGCTGAGGTAAGTATGCACACCATTGTCCAGCTAGAACACTTTGTACATTGTTAGGGTCTGAAATACCGTTAAACTTAAAGTTCCTTCCCGCGTTTCAATAGCCCTGGTCCACACAGTAGTGCAATCACTACAGCAGGAGGCAAGTTCACTGGTATTGGTGTGTGTGTGTTCAACTTACTCTCTCCCAAATGCTGAGTGCTAAGCAGAGAAAGCAGTATGTCCAACATGTACATGTTTAAAGTCATTGATATGACTCGGCCAGGATCAAATTCAAACTAGCAAATGCAAGGCAAGCACTCTACCCACCTGGCCATTGCACTGGTCTCTGAAATATACATGAAATCATAAATTTAAGTTGATTTCTGTACGGGTACTTCGCTAGACTCTTAAACGTTTTCTTTTTATTTCAGGTTTCGGTGCCCAAACCTCTAGTGGCCCTGATGTCTGCACAGAGAGGTGGAGAAGAGACAGACCCAACAGACCAAACCAGAACTCTGTACAAGTTTGATCAAAAGGTGGGAATTCTGTTTAGATAACAGCATCTTTTGTGTTTAGACCCAGGTACATGCATCTAGATATCTAGAAAATGTTACAAACACCACAATATGTTGGGGTAAAGACTCCGTTTAGAACCGACCATCATTCTCTAATATTTTTCTTCAGGTACAAATGCCCACCTACCTGATTGCTATAGTGGCTGGAGCCTTGGAGAGCAGGTAAAAACATGGTTGTGCATTGGTTGTGCATTTGTATTAATTATGAATGAAAAATCCGTATTGTAGCTGCAGCGTGAAAAATACTAGTACCTGGTTGCCAAGTTGCTCGGGCAACCAAATTTTACTTGGGGCAACCTATTTTTGAACCTAGGTTGCCCAGTGTGCTACCTGAATTTTAAGAATGCCATCCCCACCAAAAAAACCATGCCCACTTGGATTGCACCGCTGTATCCGGCAGATGCTTTTTAATTTTAGGTATTAATGGCTATTGCTAGTATCAGTTAACTAAAGGCTGTTAGAAATATTGTCAAAGGCTTATGTCTGTAACATTACTTACAGTAATTTGAGGAAAGTAGTAACTTGTAGGTGGGCAACCTAAAAGGTGGTTCAAAAAAGTATTATGTACACTGAGCTGGTGTGTTACAGCAAAGGGCAGTTATACCGATACAACCCTAACCCTAACCCTAACCCTTGAACAATATTCTTTGAATAACACTTAGAGTATAACTGTTTTCTCTCCAACAGGGACATCGATCACCGTACGAAGGTCTGGTCAGAAAAGGAGTTGGTGGACAAGAGTGCTTACGAGTTTGCAGAGGTTAGTCAAACTGAAGGTCTCATACGCCAGTTTCGCTGTGCCATTGGGAATAATAAGCACCTGCATTTCCAATTGAAAAAAAAGTTTTTCCAGACATGTCTTGCCTTCTATTGCAAGCATATCTCTTCTTCTGGCATTGAAAAACATGCCCCTTAACTATCTAGTAATGGATATTGCAATATTTATGGCATTCTGCAATTGGCCACTATCTGCAATAGTGCATCCCAATATTTTTATAGGTTTATGTAAAAATATTAATATATAAATAATAAATAATATAATTATGTAAAAATATTAAATGTATTATACAGCATATTTCTGGCATCTAAGTGTCAGAAAAATACTAAAATATTTGTTGTTTCAGAGTATTTTATATGTTGCACCCAAAATGTTTTTGTGCACCCTATTTCCATAAATGCACCCTATTCCTATAAATGCACCCTATTCCCAAAAATGAATTTCAAGAACTGCATGTAAGAGGGAAATGCTGATGCTGATATATATAATTGCTGGATGGTACTGTCTGTATGATGTTGTATATGTTTTTAGATGTTTGAATATTTCTTGTTTTTGATTGATTTCAGACAGAGACAATGCTGAAGACAGCGGAGGATCTGCTGGGTCCGTACGTGTGGGGACAGTATGACCTCCTGGTGCTGCCTCCCTCCTTCCCGTATGGAGGCATGGAGAACCCCTGTCTCACCTTCGTCACACCCACACTGCTCGTGGGTACAACTCCAAGATATTTCATTTTTTCCATTGGGCCTCGCTGAATTGATTTTATGGATGACATCTGCATGCGTGCATTGATTTTCGCCTGTTCTCAAAACAAAATCACTTCCTGAGGCCTGGGTGCCATCCTCCATAGTCGATAGACAATAGGGAGCTGGCAGTAACTACGGATGACGGCATCCAGGCTGCCGAAGCTCCACAGAACTCAGTACAGTACAGACTCATAAATGCTGCAAAAGCCCAGCATGTTCCGGCTTGTCGTAAAAGTAACTATCTACTAGTGCGCAGCTTTGTATTCATGTGGTTAAGCAGTTTTTTGGTTGGAATTTTTTATTCCCACGCACACTAGTTTTGGGGTCTTCAGTGGATATCATCCATACAATGAAGTCAGTGTGGTCTTACGGTGAAACTTGCCTAAGATGACCACCCAGGGGACCAGGTGGTCTTCTTGGACAAGTGGTCTTCTTATACAAAAAGCATTGTGGTAAGACAAGACAGAGAACATTAGAAGACAGCAAAATTTTACAACAGACTGCCCAATTGCCCAATGTGCCCAAGCAGGTGCCAATTTTTACAGTAGGCAAAACACAGTCATGCTGTTGAAATCAATGGCAAACTTTGGCAAGTTTGACTGCATTTCAGTAACAGCTGAGCTGACATGTAATCCAATCTGCGTAATAGTTTAAGGGCCATTACTTACACCGCTATAGCTAAGTACTTGTATACAAATGCCTTGTATTGAATTTCATGCAATTTAAACACATTGTAAAAAGTTTCCTACTTTGTGATCTGTTATTCTGTCTCAGCAAATGCTTATCATTATTTTTGTCAATAACCAATTTGTTCATACCTTTTCCAGGCTGGAGACAGGTCACTTGCAAATGTAAGTCAATTGCTAACTGTTGAGGTTTCTAGGTTGACGTTACTTAATGCTGTTGTATCAACCTTTTAGATATAAGCAAACAGCTGTTATCATGGAAGTTCATCTGTGTTGGTAGAACAATAGAACAATGTGAAACTTTATTCCAACACAAGGCCACACCAATTTAATTTGTTGTTTCTCGGATTTTTTCAGAAAACATATGAAGCGACAGGGCGAAAAAAAATAACAGGCCAAGGCCGGAAATGTTACAATATGAGCCATGAAATGAACATACCAGGCTGGTTTATAATTAAAACAATAGATTTTGAGCTTTTAATGGAACAAAATTGCTTTCTTACATTCAAAAACTGTAACAACTAGGAAGAAAAGGACTTTCTTCAACCATTGGGCCCAAAATATGTCTTTCATTGAGCATTTTGCAGTTGATTTAGAACAAAATTTTTTTTTTTTCAAATCAGAAAAAAATAGACATGGCGATCCAAGAAACAACAAATTAAATTGGTGTCGCCCAAAGACTACACAAGTATAACGTAAAAGAGGTGGACAATATAATCTCCCATGTTTGATCAACTGAGAAACTAAGTTTGTACGGCCTACAATCAGATGAGGTCGTATTTTGGTGCCATGTCTTAAGATGTTGATGTCTACATTACAGGTGGTGGCTCATGAGATCTCTCACAGTTGGACAGGAAACCTGGTGACCAACAGGACATGGGAGCATTTCTGGTGGGCAACATGAAACATAAACTTATGATTTCAATCTCAGTTTCTTTTCATGCTTGGCATTGTCACTGATAGGGCTGGGTACCTGTATAGAAAATTCAGATTATTGATTATTGTACAGTAGAACTATTATACATATCATATTTTGGAGTGCGAAACATGAATGAGTACAGGTCACTCACTAGTGTGTTAATATATATTATGTTCAAGTTGTACCATGTATATTGAAGCTGAACACAGTTACAGAAAGAGACAAACATGGATTTAGGCTAATCTAGTTTGATTCAGGGTTATTTTCTTTACCTGCCATGTCCAGATTATCTTAAGATGTGTGTACAATCTACAGAAATGTACATCAGGTCCAATGATCTGGTTTTTGCATTTCGGTTTTATCGACTCGGTTCCCGAACGTCGTTCCAGTTTAAACCGGTCCAGCTGAACCGGTACCCACCCCTAGTCACTGGCATAATAAATGGTCAGAATGTTCGGCTCAGAACCAATAGGTCCTAGCTCTAAATTGGGTGTAACTTGTTTCTTTTCTCTGACCCTCAGGTTGAATGAAGGCCACACAGTGTTTGTTGAGAGAAAGATTGCAGGAAGGATGCATGGAGAGAAGACTAGGCAGTTTGCTGCTTTAGGTACAGTAGAATTGCTGACATTTTGAGAAAACACATCATGGATTTACGTAAGTTAGATATTAAATTTATGACATATAACGTTATTATAACAATTTAATATTGCTATACATGTACAGTATACTCTTAACATACAAGCCAGAAAAGTAAGTTTGTTGTAGTACTTTTTACCAGTATTTTAGATTTTTGGGGGGCACCCATGATACATATAGTTTTCTTATGATATTATACAGTCTTAAAGACTGTAATTTTATGTAGTTTGTAAGAAGTTCTTGTTGTTTGAGAAAACTGAAGAAACCTTTTCTATCATCTTTGTCTTTAGGAGGCTGGAAAGACCTGTATCATTCGGTAAGTCTTCCTTGACTGTTGTCAAAGTCTACTTGCTTATGAATTTACGTTTTCAGACATAATAGCACTTGTCATTGATATTTGTCTACTCTCTTTTATATGAACATACATACAGTGTACTGCATGCATGTCTAGTGGGTAAGTTGTAAATAAACCATCATAATGCACATCATGTAAGCCAGCTTTCCTTCCTACGAACATGACTATCTGCATTTGTATAATTAAACAAAGAGACTCTTTTTACACAGCCAAGTCTTTTATTCAGCTGACATTTCAGTGACTGTCTGTCACCTTCCTCAGGGCAATTCTGACTGGTTAACATTGTACAGCACAGGTGTCGCTGCTATTGATGTGTAACTAAATATTTTACGTTTGGGAACGCATCTACATAAAATCGACACCTGTGTTGCAGTGCAATGTGAACCAGTCAGAATTGCCCTGATGAAGGTGACAGACAGTCACCAGAATGTTGGCTGAATAAAACACTTGCCTGTGAGTGCTTGTGTATAGAACTAGTATCCAAACTTGTTCTACACATGTAGGTACAAACGTTTGGTGAGACCAACCCGCTGACTAACCTGGTACCTAGACTGGAGGGTGTGGATCCTGATGATGCCTTCTCCTCTGTACCCTATGAGAAGGGCTTTACTCTACTGTACTACCTGGAGGAGCTGGTGGGAGGACCAGGTACCTCATGGGTGGATCTTCTCTTTGAAATGTCTAGTACATAAAGCCACACCAATTTGATTTGTTGGTTCCCAGATTTTTTCAGAAAAAAAATATGAGGATTTGTTCAGAAAAAAGTATGAAGCGACATGGTAAAAAAATAAAAACAGGCCTAGGTATCCTACATATTTGCAGGTTTTGATCAAACCACTAATTTGATAGATGGAAAAAATTTTACAGTAACAACTCTGAAGAGAAGGGGCTTCCTTCAACTGATGGGGCAAAAATATGAGCATTTTGAAGTTGATTCAGAACCTGAATTGTTTTTGTTTTTTTTGCAAATAAGAAAAAAAAAATGAAGCGAGTGAATCTGACAGCCAACCAACAAATTAAATTGGTTTGGCCTAGTAATGTTTTTGCATTGATATACCTGTGGGTTGATAAAAGCTGTTCCGATTAGATGATGATAAGAGTTTATTACCTTTGCCAAGAAGATTATGTTTTCGGTATCATTTGTGTGTGTGTGTCCATGTGTCTGTCATATCAACACAATAAATCGAGAAGGGTGGGATGGATTGTGATATTTGGAACAATATAATACTAATCTAGGTGGGTAGGTCTTGATGGGACCTCAAAATTATGAGATTTTGGGGCCCTGGCAATTTTTTATGGCACTGCAGCAGAACTTGATATCTCATGAATGTGGACATGCTAGGGTCACATTTTATCCTAATTTTTGTCCTTACAGAGAAGTTTGAACCATTCTTGAGGAAGTACATTGACACCTTTAAGTACAAGTGCCTGGACACTGAGGAGTGGAAAGCCTTTCTGCTGGACTACTTCAAGAAAGAGGTGAAGTTGGTTACCAGAAAAATGTTTACCTTCTTCCTTTCTTTAAAGATATCTACAGGTGTCAAATATCATGTAAACTAGTCACTTGATTAAGTGTCAAATATTCTGGAAAGACAGTGGAGGACGTAATACACTTTATTTGCCATTGTCCTCATTACAGCACCGAAAGAGGTAAGTTATTTGAAGTACTGTACAGTAGTCACCAAAATGTTTCCTAGTTTTAGGCACCTTTCCAACCCACCTGCACAAAACTGCATTTATTTATCACTTCTATGTCCTGCAAGTGTGGGGCATTTGATACTCCACTGCACACAAAAGAAATCAAACCCAACAATAATAGTTACATGTAAAAGTAGCATTTGTATTATTATTCATGCTAATTTTTAATGTACACTATTATTTTGTCACACCCTACATGTATTTCCTTGCAAATCAGCAAATATTTGCAAACTTTCGTAGTACATGTAATAATTTTGTAATTATTTGCAAACTTTCACTCATTGTTTAAGGTTTCTGAAGGTCTGTTTGACCAGGTGGACTGGAATGCCTGGCTACATACACCTGGTATGCCACCTGTAAAGCCCAGGTGAGTGAATGTATGAACTTAACCCTACAATGTATCTTGTAGTTATTATTATCATAAGAAACAGTATAATTTTTATGAGTTACAATATGGTCATGCCTTGGTATGAATGAGTTGGTCTCATTTTTAGAACGAAGTATGCAGGAATTGACCTACAACTTATAGTTTAAGTATACAGGAATTGACTTTTGTAGGCAGATAAAGGTTTTAGACATGACAACAATACATGTATCATTCCATACTAGTATGTCAATAATATTTTGTAGTTACAGGTATAACTTGTAGAATAGATTAACCTGGCTTGTAGTCTTGATAATTTACTTTACCATGTACGATTGTAAGTAAATGTGTTCATTCATTCATCTTTTCTGTATCATCTTCTCCTGCAGCTATGACACGACCCTGGCAGACGTGTGTTCCTCCCTGTGTCAGCGCTGGAGTCAGGCCACACCTGACCAGCTGGACCAGTTCACTCCCCAGGACCTGCAGGACATGTCACCTGGTCAGAAAACTGAGTTTCTGGCACAACTGCTCCTGGAGGTACACAAGTCAACACAACTTTAACCTAGGCCCCATTCCCAGTAGGATAAAATTGTCCGGATGGAGCCAAATTGATTTGCTTTGATCTGGCTTTGATCCTACTTTAAGCCGGATTTATGCGGATCGGAACCAGATTCAATTTGGCTCATCCTAGTGGGGATGGGCCCTAGTTACCTGCCACTCTAACGTAGCCACTCTAGTCAGTTTAAAGGCATCCGATAGCCACTCTAGTCGGTGTTAAGGCATCCAATGCAATTTCAGGGTGGCGAAACTGGATTTTCAAAGTCAATTTTCTAGCTATTTATAGGTGGTACCCAAAAAATAAAGCCTCACATGCGTCAATGCCTCACATATTTCAAATGCGTCAATGAAGTAAAAGTAAATAAAAGTAGATAACAACAAGTTTTGTCATCCAGATTATATTTTGTTTTGCCCATCTGAAATTGCATCGGGTGCCTGTAAGGCAATGATGTGAACCTTTCCAAGGAATGTCTTAGGTTGACTGTACTGAATGAAGGTAACTTTATCAATTTGAAAGTAACACCCAATTTTGTCCTTGTCTTTACCCATGTTTCAGCCCCCACTGTCGATTCAGCATATTGAAAAGATGGACCAAGTCTATGGTATGAGTGCCAACAACAACTCAGAGATCAAGTTCAGGTGAGTTTCTGTTCAACATATGTTTGTGATACATTCCAGGCTTGAAGAATCTGTATGTGTTCACCATGGAAACACTTCTGTAAATACATTACATACAGAGCAATCTTGATAACATGATAATGAAGACAATACCTATAAGTAAGACTTAGTATATTCAAAGACAATTTAGACTGTACTACTGGATAAATTATGGAGATTACTTCGAATTCTGGGCCTTTCAAGTGACATCCGCCACTCTTCTTCAGTGTCACTTAAAAAGTAGACATTTTAGTCTGTATTATTGTCACTCAAAAGGTCATATGCATACATGTGCCTAGCTTTTGCTGACATTTTACTTAAAAAAATATTCTATTTTATATGGTGTACCCCCCCCAAAAAATTTTCAAGTTGGGTGCACCAGTGCAAAAAAATGAATCTTTTTTGAGCCCTGCAACTAACTTTACAGATTTTAAAAATATATATTGCTTCTGTATTTCCCTCCTGCCCAGATGGCTGAGGCTGGGTATCAGGGCAGAGTGGGAGGGTGCTGTGGACCCTGCTCTCAAGTTTGTTACTGTTCAGGGAAGGATGAAGTTTGTACGGCCACTCTACAGGTAAGGCCACACCAATTTAATTTGGTGGATTTTGGATCTTTATAAAGTCTGAAGCAACAGGGCAAAATGAAATAAAATATCTAGGCACCCCATGATAGCATTAAATGTTACGATAGGAGCCATGAATTCAATATACTTAATATATGAATTTTAAACTTTTAATAAAGCCAATGCATTTGTAGATAGATAAATTCTAAATGTGTTTAATTTCCTACAAAAGACAAAATATGCTCCCCTTATTATATTTCATCCATAGTTTGCTACTCTCTCTCTCAAAACCATTTTGAATAAGAATACAATGTATTTTGTAATTTGTGCTTGATAAAGTTGATTCTGGTAATTTTGCTTACAATTTACATTTACAGTTATAAAGTTTAAGCCTTAGTTCCAACACAAAAGGAAGGAGTCATCATGTATTTTCGGTCAAACACACATCTGATAAAAGTTGACATGTTCGACTGAAAATTCATTGTCCGTCTTTCTTTTCATAATGGATCTAATGCTTAAACTTTGTAACTATGGATTCTACATGTACCAAGTGAACACAAAATGTGCTTTCATTCAAATTTTACATTCAAGTTAAAAACACTTACCGACACCATATTTCATTCATTTACATCTCACAGGGACCTGTATGGGTTTGACAAGGCCAGAGATAAGACCCTGCAAACCTTCCAGCAGAACAGGCCCTTCATGCACAGCACCACGGCCAGCCTGGTGGCCAAGGACCTCAACATCCAGTAGTGACCATCAGGCACTTCATTTTCAGCACCATGGACCGCCTTATGGTCAAGAGCCAAAAAAATCATGGGGTTGTATAGTTGTTAGGGGATGACTATTATCATCAATAACAGGAAAATTTGCACTATTGACAGGATGAAATAACAGAAAATTTTGATCATGTCATTTTGATAGTACTGTAGAAAAAATTGCATTAGTGGAAACATTTGTACTATTTACTGGAAAATAATAGTGCATTTTCCACTATTGACAGGATCATCTTGCTAAAATTTGAAATGTTCTACAGCATTTGGATGTACTTACTTGCTATTATACTATCATTACATAGCAATAGTTATGTTTACCGAAGAAAAACATATTGTTTTTGCTCGGTTTCCTTTCTCTTCTTCTTCTCCAAACAGTAACCTCTGACCTGACCAATGACCTGATTTGTTGATGTCTCTCACCATTGTAACTGGTGTTGGGTTACATAATGTTGCAATCTTATAGTAGGGGGAATTTAGACTCCTGTCTGACTATCTATATGAATGTATTTGAGTAAGAATTAACAGAGCAGACCATGTGTGAAGGTAAACATTATGCATTTGCTTTGCAAATGTTACCTTTCTAGTTACAGTAGATTCTACCATCGAATCAAGATACAAAATGTTCTTGTTCTTGTGGAAAAAAGGAGTCATCACAAGATTCAGCTAATGTAGCAGCTCAAAATACAGCATTGCAAAAAATTGCAGAAGATTTTATCCCTCAGTTTCACTGTTATTGCATACTGTTCAAAAGGGAGGAATAATTATACCAAAGGATAAGTCTTTCTTGTGCTTTATATAATTTAAGAGCAAAACTTCTACAATGGTCAGCAAAATTTCATGATGAACAATTGCAAGTTTACATTGTTGCTATTAGTTCGGTCTAAGTTGCTGGTGTGCTAGTCGTATGTGGTTGATAATCACAAAAAGTAGTAAGTATAACCCTGTGCATGCAACAAGGCTGTTTGTCTTATGTAATCATTTGTTTCAATGTGGATTTTTGTAATGAAATGTAACATTAACAACTCTACCTTCCAACAAGGCCCCTTAAGTATGGAGTTACAATTGTACCGATGGTGACAAGGTGCTCTGGTAATTCTTTTCCATAATGGAAATGATAGAAAATTAAAACTGACATTCTTCAGAACCAAGGAATGCATGACTGACACTGAATTGTCTATTCCTGTTCTAATATGTTCTCCAATAAGTTAATGCTAGTAACTTTCTATTGTTCGGGTTGAGGAATGCTGGTTAGTTGGTGCAGAATGGTAGGCAGATAGGCAGGTAGATAACACAGTCAGAACCAAGGCTAGTACTAGTCTCACAACGCCACCTGGCAGGTTGCCATTGCATAGCAGGCACAGATGCTGATGACACAATCAGTACCAAGGTCAGCAACAAAGCGCCACCTGGCAGGTAGCCATTGAATGGTAGGCAGAGATCCTGATGACACAATCAGCACCAAGGTCAGCACCAAAGCGCCGCCTGGCAGGTAGTCACAGAACTACAGGCACTACTAGCTTGATCAACAATACAGACACAAAAAGTACTTTCACAGCGAAGCATAAAAGTCACAAGAAACATTTCAAAATTGTAATGTCAACGTTGAAAAGAATTCAGAAAAAAAGTGGGTTTCCCCATAATGAAATAAGGGTGCCACAGCTAACACTACAGATAACTTATTTTCCCAATAGTACTAGCATATAAATGTAGCATTGGACTCTACAGAAAGAAACAATACAGGCGTAATTCATATTTATGTGTAGCAAAATTACTATAGTACAATGTATGCAGCCACCACAATATATCTCCAACAATAACTGTAAAGTTAGAACAAACAAATACTGGATGTCATAGCATCTAAATATCAACCCATTGCCCCTTAGCACTTGTTGATGACGTTTTTAATTATTATTGACATGCCACTGTGTCAGAGTGCACCGTTCTTCAGCACAATTTTATACACATTAATGCAATGATTCAGAAAAAGTATTATGTAGCATTATTACGTCGAGGTTATGTATAGAATTACGTCGAAGATATTTTTTTTTAGTTTTGCATTACCATTGCACGTAACCGATTGGTATATATGCCAGAGTGCATTATAAATGACGCAAAAATATTAAATATAAGTTGTAATGTTTTGATGCTATACAACAGACAAATAAGTCACAATTTTATGTCCTTATACGTAGAGGGCAATGCCTTCGTGTATACACGTTTCTCACAAAGTCCTGGGTGGGGTCATCCTTTTGTGGAATCATAATTAAGTCTCTTTGAATATCCATTTCTAAACCGCTTCACACCAACAATGGATGAGGTACGCCACTCCCAGTGAAGGTTTGTAAACTCTTGAATATTTTATGAGTGCCTTGATACGAAGGTAGCAGACCGTAGCCGTTTGGCATACCATCACGGCTCAGTTTTCTGGTGGCCACGGTTACACTCATGCCCTCTAAATGTAGACTAATACCATATCTGATACTAGTATAGGTATTGAAAGTCAAGGTACCAGTGTGTTTACGGAAGGGACCCTAGCCTGGTATCCAGACCGTCGTGAGCTCAGCGCTATCTCTTCGGCGCTGGGAGCGTCACCGGCCGCCAAACTTGGCCCCAGCTACCGGTCACCGGAAGAAGAAGCCAGCGGATAAAGAGAAACCAGCTGGAGATAGGTCCGTGGATATAGCTCGCCTGTGCTTAGTAAAGGGAGGGGTAGGGAAATCACCCCCAAGCCGACCCTAAGGTTTGGTACCAAGGCTGAAGGGACCATGGATTGGGACGATGGCTTCCGCGGGAGCCACGTCAGGCGCCCGGTCCGACCACCTCGTGCTGCCGACCAGGACTCGCTGGGCCGCGGGTCTGTAACGTCCAGCTCTCTCCGCTTCGGGCCGAAAGAAGGCTTCGTCTGGAGTCCAGGGAACGACGATATGGAGTCGATATACGGGGATACTCGAGATTCAGGGCCGCAGAATCCACAAGGCTGGCCCGGTAGACATCCACCGTCAGTCCAAGGGCCGCCTCCTGTTCCAAGCACCGCGCCATACCAGGCTCCTGCGCCCACCCCAAGCCAACCAGTCCCGCAGCCGGACGACCTACCACCGGTGGATTATGAGTCCGTTGATGAGACCAACGCGGACCCCAAGCCACCTCGGTACGAGAGGCCACTTCGACCGAAAACGGCTTTAGGGCGTAAGCCATCAAGGGGCACACCCAAGAAGAAGGCCCCGGAGAGCATCGCTTCCACCAAGGACGACGACATTGACAACCGGTCCATCGACTCCACGTTCAGCGATATCCCCGATACTGCGAGCAACAAACGGGCGAAGATCCTACAGAACCTGGGCGTCCCCGTGAGAGTAGTGAACGAGGAAAACCTGCCCGATCTGCATCGTCAGGGTGACTCCGACGACGAAAAGGATAACAAACAAGGAGGGAAAAAAGATGACAAGAAGACGGAGGAAGATGACAAGAAGTCAGAGAAAGAGGAAGACGACAAGAATGATGATGACACAGACGCCCCTTTGGATCGTCAACAGTTCCTCCCGCTAGTTCAAACCGGTGGCGCCGGGCCGCCAACAGGTGCTCCTTCGGGAACGTACGCAGCCCTGCCCGAGGCCAGCCCGAGCAACATGCCGCTGGACAACCTCCCACAGCCTGACTACGCAGACCCAACTGAGATCATGTTGAAACCGTACACCAGGTAGGAACTCCCGTTACTGATATTGACAATCTGTCAGAGGATCTTATTACATTTATTTGTAAGAGGTTCTACTTTTCATGAAAATATGTTGTTGAGTGTGCCGTCACAATGCCTTGTCATTAAATGTTGCAACTTTAGGTTTATTGCAAATATATGCCCGAGGGCTAATTGTAAATACAAACAACATGTATGAAAAAGAAGATACAACTATAAGAGGGACAAGATTATACTACATTCTAAAACATACATTGTACTAGTTTTGTTTGGTTTGACTTCTTCTCTTGAGGCAATGGAAGACGAATTTGCCCACTTCGTCTATGATATGTGGGTTCTTTGTTTTGCCTTGGTGGTGGATAGTTTGAAAGTAAGGGCGCATTTTATACACGGTGCCGAATAATTGGTTTCTGATATCATTCTAAAATGAACAGGAATTCGGAGATCTCATACCTCCTAGAATATGGAAATAAGGTCATAGTTACCATAGTTTAATTTATGGTTTTCTTAATTCAAAATACAATATTTTGCGTGTGAAATTCCTCTCCTTTGTCAATAATCCATTTCAACATGTTGTAATTAATTATGCAAATGACCTCCACATTAACATAATATGAGCAAAGTAATGTTAGCTTTTAAGTAACTTACACATGTCACAAGGTATAAAATTACCATCATTCACGAAAAAGGAATCACAGAATGTTCACATTAATTATGCAAATTAGGCCATCATTTGCATAATTTGTATCTGTTGATGTTCTACCTGCCATAGCTCACATAGATTACAAGTATAAAAGTGTTTCCACAAAGTTGTGGAAACACACACAGACAGACAGACACACACACACACACACAGACACGCCAAAAACAATACCTCCCTTTTTTTATGGAGGTAATTATAACGATTAGAAATTATTAATAATAAAAACACCGTTCACCAGCCTCCCGGATAACGTCCAGGATACGGACATCAAGGACCCGAAGGGACAGTTCCTGTTCGCCGTGCAGAACGGAGACGTGGAGAAGACCCGGGCCCTGTTGGAACGTAACGCCGTCAGGCACGAGTTCGACATCAACACCAGCGACGACGTAAGTTCTAACAAACGTTTCCATCTATTTTCTTAATATCTAGATTTACCTAGCTTCGGTTAGGGACGTCCCTCGGATAGGACGTTACACGGAGGTCCCGTGTTTGGAGAGAGCCACACCCTACGCACGCGTTAAAGAACCCACGACAGGGGACCTTCCCAGTGTGAACGGTTCAAACTTTACAGTCCTATGGCCGCACCTGGGGTCATATTGAGGTTACCTGAGCTAACGCCGAATGGTAGCCGCTACAGACCCTTGATTCACATGCATCCCCAATGATTGTAAGCTCCTCACAATTCAGCCCTTGGCTGGGAAGAGAGAGTGCCCGGCCCACCCAATAACAAAATTCATCACATTTGTGAAAACATCCTTTCCCAAGGACACAATAGTGTGTATATTGAAGGACATGCTACTTATTTATTGGTAATTACTGTCAAAAATTTATGCATAATGACGTCTACAGATGAACTTTCAAAATTAACAACATTTTTTAAAAAGTAAATCGTTACTCCATGTAAGGCCGCACTGCCTTAATTAATTTTATGGATGACATCCTCTGAAGACCCGCAAACTAGCTAGTGCGCGAGGCCGAATAAAAAGA